CCAGTCACTCGTCTCAAAACTGAGGTGGGAGTCTTTCTTGCTCCCATACAGTCGAAAAGACTATATATATGCTCCTCTCTTCCTTGTGTTTAACACCTCTTTCTTCACTCTGCCTCTTTCCCATAGCGTGCAAGTGGGCTGTTATGGCATACGGGGATGAGGGCAGCTCGCGCTCAACTTCATCAACGTGGCGAGCCGCGTACGTTAGAGGCACGGTGGATGAGGCGTTAAGAAGAGTGAGAAACTGAATGATTTCAATGTGCTTTTGTTTTTTATTTTATCCTTTCTTCAGGATACAGTGAAACGAAGAATAAGAGGACATTGTTCTGTGTCATTCTGGTTTGTCTGTCTCTTTGTCTGTCTATCCTTTCATTTTCCTTTCTTTGCTCATCTTATTTCTCCTTCTACTTCACGTGCTTGTGGTCTTAGTGAATAGTTCTGTGACAATATATATATATCTATATATATATATATATTTATTTATTATTTTTTTTTATAGTTTTTCACGAGGCAGTTGCCTCGTTTCTGCCCCTTTTCCCGTTTTCCCCCATATTCTGCTGTCTAATGGCCACAAAATGGGGAAGGGAAAAAAAAAACTAAAAAAAAAAAAAAAAAAACTTACCTGAAGTTCAGTCTGCTGCCTGTTTCGTCGAATGAACGGGCTCAGACCCTGAATTCGACTGAGGGGGGAGGAAAGACAACATGTGGGGGTGTATATTTCCATGTTCTAGTGCAAGATTCATTCGATTTTGCTCATCCTGTTGTTGGAGTCTTCGACGAGGGGCCAACCAGGTAAGTAGGTAGGTAGGTAGGTAGGTACCCTTCCCCACTCTCTCTCTCTCTCTCTCTCTCTCTCTCTCTCTCTCTCTCTCTCTCTCTCTCTCTCTCTCTTTTTTCTCTGTGCCTGAACCTAGACGCTATCGGCGCCGGGTTCAGGCGCAGAGGCTGATTGTCAAGGTTCAACCTACTGATGAGTCGGTGCAATTCCGACGAAACATTCTGTCGCAGTCCCGTTGCCTCCCCTCTCTCTCTTCATGTGCGCCTTCAGCGCCATGTTCAGGCGGAGTGACTGACTGTCGGGGTTGCAACCCCCTGACGAGTCGGTGCAATCCCGACGAAACAGTCTGGCACAATCATTCCTTCCCCCCCCCATTTTTCCCTTTCTCGTGCGCCTGTACCCAGGCGCTATAAGCACCGGGTTCAGGCGCTCCCTTGCCCTGCTGCCCGTTTTAAAAACGAACGGGCGCTCGGCTAGATTCTAAAAGAAGCTAAAAAAAAATCTAGAAATAGAAAAAAAATCAGAAAAAACAAAAACTAACCTACCTAAAATCGGCTACCCGTTTTCAATGGGCGCCTGTTTCTTCCTTTGGGACACTAAGTCCCTTTTCTTCTGGAAGCGCCATCTGGCACTGTAGATAATTTTAGTATTTTTTTTTAGAAATGCATTTGGCATAAGCCAACGACCGTTGCAGCCTATGCCAGCCTTGCTGGCATTCCTCCTTCCCCCTCCTGTTGATGTACAAGCCGGAGTTCGATTCCCTAAGGAATCGAAAAAAAACAATTTCGGCCATCTCTCGATTTATGCGTGTCATCCTTGCGCAGCGGCCATGCAGTATCTGCGTGGTCGTTTTCGACCGTGAGATCTCGAGATCTCGCGGTCGAAATCGACCGCGCCTCCAACCCCAACGGGCAGCTCCAAAAAAAAGCTAGCCCAGTTGGGCCGTGCGTTCGGGCTCGATCCCAATATCTGCTGGGCGAAAGTCTAGCGTCGTAACCTACTGGGCTAGCTCCTATTACGGGAGTTAGATCTGTACCTCTTCTATATGTAGAGGTGCAGCTCCAAGTAGGCCCAGCCTATAATCAGCAGGCCCAACCTGCCTTGCCCAACCCCTTTTGTTGGCCGTCTGCACCTACCGCAACGGCCTCCAACTCTTAGTAAGCAGGTTTTTGGGTCCTTCGACCATCGTCGTGATTCCAACCCTTGGACGACGATTCTTATTTAACACCATAGGCTCATCGTTTTCAGTACAATAAATTCAGATTTAGTATGCCAATGGTCACACATCCCTGCGACCGTGCTGAACATGACACGTGACTGGCCATACCGCTGACCCTCGCCGTCTTTTCGGTGGGTCGCAGACGTTCAAGGTTAGGCAAGAATATTTCAGATTCTTAGTCGTAGGTCTGGTCTGAATAGACTTTTGACAAACATCAGTCTCATCAAGTCCTTCAATTAAGCGAAAAAGTCGGACAGCGTCTGGCGTTGAAAAACCCTGGAAAATACCCTTGTCAGGGTATTTGCTCCGACACCTCGTCCCACAAAAAAATAATAGTAGTAAAAATAATAATAAAATAATAACCAGAAAAAACCAACAGGGAAAAACGTACGGCGAGGAAAGGTAAAGGGGACTACTAAATTTCCTTGGCCCCTCCGAGCTAACCTACGCGCAGCAACCCATGTGGGATGCCCTCGTCGGACCCTCAACCCATCGGTTCCTTATCGCTGCTCTAATGCACGGGTCGCTGTCCGCTGGCTTCGATCCCTGAATCTCTCGGGTGGAACTCCGATTCTGTAACCAATAGTGATAGGCCCAAGGATGGGTCGAGTTCTGACAGACACTTAAATAAACGGATACTGCGCGACGCGTAGACCTACCGAGATGTTTTGAAAATTTATGTTGTTGTCGATATCGTCCTCCGCACGTACGCATATGTCACAGGCAAACACATCAATCAACGAGACATAAATCTTTTCAATCCTAGTTTAATCAGAAATAAAAATATGGTCGGCGGTCACGCCAGTTCTTCAATCATCAACAAATAAAATCACGCGCGCCTCAAGCCTGCGCGCCCACACACTCTTTGCTTTAGTCAACCATCCAGCCTAACGTAAACCATAGACACCGCCTCGCCCTCGCGCGTTATATTTAACCTTTAAACCAAACTTATTTTCTGTCGCTTGCAAAAACTAGGGCGAATACCCTTGTAAGGGTATTTGCACCGGCAGCTTACCGGACCATAGTAAGTAACGTCCCTGTCGCTTCGCAGAATAAAAAAGCTATAAGTCCATCCATAATAAAAAATGTTAACGATAAAGAAACCAATCCGATTAGCCGACATACCCTGGTTCGAGACCTCCATCAAATCATGTCGACACAACTGTATGTTGCCAAGATTTTAACCTGGGTCTCCATTGTCCTGACATTAGTTCGTCGGGATACTGACACTGTACTACAACATAAGTTCCAACGGCCTTCTTACTGGCCTCTTCCCCTTTGTCCTAGATAAACGCCGACTTCTCGTTAAGTGTCTCTAGTCTCTACCTTGCTAGTAGGGTCATAACTAGGGACATGGACCCTAACCGAGACCTTCGAAGGCATTATTGCCTCCCTCCAATAATTCTCTCAATCAAACATATATATATATATATATATATATATACATAAATCTTATCTTAGACTCTTCCTGCAGTCTAGTACACGTAGGTCAGGTCTCCATCTTGACCGACCATAGTCTGAGTGATCATGCAAGATCTACGGCCCACCGCGTTGTTATTTTAGCGGTAGTGTCCCCACAGGTTGCGCCACGATAGGCTTTCTCATGATAAGCATTCAATCAGGACTCAAAAAACCACTCCGTTGACTCGACTTGTATCCCACGTTGTTCCACATGAGTAAAACCCTCCTAGGTGGTCACACCTTTTAAGTCTTTACTCCTTCAGCAATACGCAGGCCCGTTATTCAGGTTACGCCGATCAGCAGCCAACACTAGGGGTTGCGCCCTAGTGATGCTAAACTTTACCGTTAGCTTGGTATTTTCATAAATGCCCTAAGATTAGCACAAGCGGTTGGACGGTATGTTGCAACAATATAGGCCTACTGCGGGACTACGCAAAGGTCTGTCACACATAAAAGGCATTTACCAACCCTCTGTGGAACAACATAGAGAGCACGACAGTCTCTCCACTTTTACAAAACAGAATCACCGCCATATTCGTAAGGCCGTGACCTCCCTACTTGATCAGAGGATTCAGAGCAATAAAGTTACATCTCAATGACATCTTCCAGATAAATCATTCTTGCGACCTCCAAAATTTCACCAATGGCCAAACAAAAACATGGTCCTTCTCGTCAGTCTTTATCATTCAAAATCAGTCTTCCATGCCATTAAATCTATTAGCCACCTTTCATATGAAGGAGGTCTCACTCAATAGGTTTCTCAGTCATCCCTTCTTTTTCTAGGATGAACTCTCACACGACCCTGCCATAAAACATCTTCCTTCTCTGAAGATGAGTTTCCAGATAAACAAAAGACTGCCTTCTCACTCGAAGGTGTCTCAACAATAAAACAACTAAAACCTCATCGCAACTTAATAATAAACATTCGACATGGTAAGCATTCAAGTCTCAAGGACTCATAAATCCTTGATGATTCTCGTACTTTTCACAAAAACAGACTGCACTCCCTCTCCTTATACCCGATCCTATCACCCGCCCGTGGGTAGATCGCATGAGTATACCGAAGAGTAGACAATTCACAATCATTCACATTCACGAAATACACGGCGCACGAGATGTTTCTCATACATCTTTCACACAAAGTCATTATACATCAGGATAAAACCACACATGTGAGAGTGATTGTGATCGTCATATACAATGAAATAATCTCTGATAGATCTCAACTCAAAGCACGCTCAGGGATGAAATATCTCAACCAAACACACAAGTCAGAGTCCAGATCCGCGACTCACTCGGAACAAACAAAACCCTCATAAATATGATACATGACTGACTGTACTATCAAAAACGTCATGAAAGAGGAACTGAATCCTCCTCTCAATGAGTCAAAGAAAGAGTAACCTCAACATACACATGGGATCTTATTGAATCTTGACCCTCATGTTACTAAGAAGAACCTCAATGACAACCATACGCTGTATTCCCCTGTATGTACAACTAACAGCGTAGGTACCCGAGCTTCTAACAAGACAAAAACAAAAATTAAGATAAAACTAATATCTGACCCAGAATGCACACTCCACTCAATCTCGCCATGTCATAGTGGCTAACCATACATAGGCGAACCAGTCCTTACTCACTCATCTCCTCCTGGTTCTGCCTGTACAACTGATCTCTACCCCCGTCAACATTTCGCTCTACCACTCGACCCTGCCTATCGTACATCCTTCCACCTTCCTCTGTGACCTTTCCTGCTGCCTTATCTTTGAGGAACTTCGGATACTGCAGGGCCTGATGCTCCTCCTTCTTGCAGAAAAAACAGGTCGCGTCATACGACTTTCTGGACCTCTTCTTCTTTCTCTGAGACCCCGGTGACGAAGGTGTCTCGCTGGCCTCTCTGGTCATCTCATAGCTCTGGGGCATGTCCATAGGCTCCTCCAGTCTCACTTCCAATCCCTGAGTAATCGGCTCCGTCCGCATCCCAGTTCCCTCGGGCCTGTACTCAGGAGTGTCTAACCTCCGGGGTCTACCCTTGCAGACACCCTCCATCGCAACCATCGTCTCGCCCTCATGAGGCTCCTCCACCCTCTGCTTAGGCATAAACAGACTCGCCTCCTCCTGCAAAGTGTTGACTGCCTCAAGGAGCACATCCATGGAACCCTCATCAGATCCAAGTGCAGGCTCATTGATAGCTGTCCGTGGTCTGTCTCCGGCTCGTGGTGTCCAGGACTCCGTCGCAGACCCAAAAGAAGTCATAGACTGGGCGGCAAACTCAGTAGGGGCCCTAAACTCAAAGGCCTCCTTTTGTGCCTCCCTCTTTGCCTTTGCTTCCTCCGGCTCCAGGATGGCCTTCCCAATAGATGGCTCCTGAGAGGGTCCTGCCATAGACGGCTGTCCAGATAGACCCTACGCCGCTTCATCCTGGATACCATAGCGACGACTCTCGGTCCAGTCCACCACTCTAGTTGCGCCTCCCGGTCCCCCCTAGCTGCCATATCCTGAAGTCGTCGTCTCATCTCCTGGATGGTGGCAGCCTGGCTGGCTGTCAATGCCCTGAGCTCTCGAACCTCTGCCTCAACTGCCTCCAATCTTACCTCATGACTTACTTCCTTTGTTTTCTTACCGGCTCATCTTCCAATATTAGATACTTATTGAAAAAAGTCTTGGCCAGAAAACGGATCTTACGGTCTAGGTACCCTCCCGCTGACCTTGTCGTCTCGAATCCTGCTCTCTCTGGAGCTGCCAATCTCTCGCCATACAGGCCCCAAAACTCATCCCACATCTCCTTGACTCCACAGGGTTTAGGGGGCGCGTCAGGTGGCTGATCTGGGAGTGCCCCTGCCGCCTCTAGCCTCTGCCCCTCCTCCCAAATTTCCTCCACGCGCTTCCCTACCCTGGCCCGTCTTTCCTCCGCTGTCTCTCTTGCCGTTGCTCTCCCTCTGGTGCAATGGTCGTCTTTCTCTGGAATCTCGGCCCACGCCTCTCTCTCTGCCTGGTGAGGCTCCCGTGGCGGCTCCATAGGCCTCTCAATGTCAGGGTGCTCCTGGGCATGTGCGAGCAGATACGTATCGATCGTAGAAAGAACCTCTCTCCTCCAGCCAGTCCTCTCTCGCTCCATCTCTATCCTCACCCCTAGCGAAAGAGTCGTATATGGGGGAGGTGGTGAAATCTCTCCCTGCTGAAGCTCCTCCCTTGCCTCTTGAGCGACATCTGGCATTATCTCAGGTCCGGTTTCTGGAGCTGGCGTCCGAGGTGGAGTATCCTCTCCAACCTCTATCACTTCCTCCATCACTCTCCCTCCCTGAGCACCCCGTTCCACCTCTCGCCCTAGTTCAGGGACCTCCTCTCGTGGTACACCTCCAACCGTCTCATCACGCCTCTCGTAAGTCTGAGGCACCCTCCATCGTGATATGTCCAGGTGCGCCTCCGGCTCCTGCAATGGTGCCCCGGATGCCGCATCTCCCCCCGCGTGCGCTGAGGGGATCCTCTCAATCCCCCTCCAGTAAAACGATGAAAAACCACCGGGCTAAGTTCGCACTCAGGATATGCTCTCTGCTCCTCTGTCTCTGGTACTAACTCCTCCTCCTGCCTGGCAAGTGCCTTCCGTCCTCCTCGAGATGGGATGACCTCTCTGGCCACAGGGCCCCTCTGCCTCTTGCTCCTCTGTCGCCTCTCAACCCTAGGCTGAGGTGGCTCTGGTCATCGAAAGGCCTCCTTCAGGTGTGCCCTGCAACTCTCCCAATCTCGAGCCATATCCCTGATCTTACGGGCCAAAGGTCTCTCTGCCTTCCTGGTCCATAGAGGTAGTGTCCGCGCCCACTCATCCCTCAATATATTATGCTCGAGCATTGCTCAAAAACAGGGATGAACTCCTCCACATTTCCGATCTCTAGGCGGATCGGCACGCCGTCTTGTCCCATGGGTGAGGGCCTCAGCTCCTGCATCCTCAACTCCACCTCTGGCCAAGTTCTCGCCTTTATGCGAATCTGTACGATGGGCTCCTCAAACCTGCCAACTCCCCTTAACCTCTCTATCCTTTGTGCCACTGTCCACCCCATGTGCTCCGCATATCCTCGGAAATCGTCCAGGAAGAGCTCTATATCCCCGTCGTCATACACGGGTGTGTGCTCCCTCTGGTGAGACTCATGCCGCTCGTAATCCCCTGATGCTCCCAATGGCCTCCGTGGTGGCCGTGTCCCCCTCCCTCCTCTCGGCATGGTTGTCTTCATAAAGTCAGACCTGCACAACAGGCGAAGGAGACAATAGGCACACCACAAGGATAAGCAAACCGGCAGGCAGGGTCCACTCAGATCAAAAGGTAAGCACACATCCTGTTCATACATTTCACCTTTCCACGCCTTTCTAGGACCTAACTACACATCTTTTCTGCATTCATAAGGTTTTACTATAAAGGGGTTAGATCGCTTATCTCACCTCCTCTCTTGCCACAAACTTCTTTAGCCTCGTTCCTGACACCCAATCCTTCCACCCTGTTCCATCAAACTCCTCAATTTCATAGGCGCCGAAATCCCCGCACCGCACAATCCGGTAGGGTCTTAACCACCTTTTGTCGAGACCACTGCTTCTCCAAGGACGAGTCATATAGCAGTACGACATCTCCGACTTTCAATGGTGCCTTTCGTACGCGGGCCAACTGCTCCCAACGAGCCTTGTCATCCATGCGGCTCTTCTCCACCTGATTGGATGCCCCTTGTATTCTTTCCTCCATCGCACCCACCTGCCGCGCCCAAATGTCAAGCAGTTCATCAAAGGATAGGTTGGTCTCCAGGTCCTGACGCCTCCAAGTTTTCAGGAAACTCTCAATAGGGAAAGTAGCATGCCTTCCGTATCATAGCGTGGCTGACGCGTACTTAGTGGTTTTCTTCACCATAATGTTCTCGACAAAAAATATCGTCCTCAAGTACCTTGGCCACTGATTAGGCCTACTTTCAGTCCACTTAGCCAGAAGATTCGTGATGGTGTTATGCCTCTTCTCAACTGGAGCATTTGCTTGGGGATGTGCTGCCGTGGTATAATTGGCTACCACGTCGTATCCCGATAACAACTTCTGCACCTCTTGACAATGGTTGGACTTTGAAAAAGGAAGCCTGAAAATTGTATTTCGAATATGTTTTTTTTTGTATAGTTTTAGGTGATGTCATCGAACAATGCTTTCTTTCAGAGTGAAGTGTTTATTTTTTATCATTTGACTATTGTGATGACGTTTGGTGAACTGTCGTTGTAGTCCATAATAAGTGACGTATATTTGTATCCTGAGTGAAGTGTTTATGACATATTTTTTACTCTTATAATGTTGTTGGGTGAACTCTGTGTATAGTCCATAATAAGTAATATTTTTATGAACGTGTTGTCTTAATATTTATGTTATTTGAAATTAAAATATTTTTCATTTTTTTGTTAGTAACAATGAGAATTGTCATTGAAATAAATGCGGGTAAAATAAATAAAAGTACAAATTCGACTCATTTTTCTTCATATTCACGGAGAGCACTAATTTTATACGACCTGATTGATTGTATGTTTCACAGACAACACTCATAACAGAGATTATTATCGTTATATATTTCCCATTACCGTGCATTACATTGGAGGTCGAGTGGACACGATATGAAGTCATGTTTCGATTGTGGATGGAGGTTTAGATGCAGAAGGACAATGGAGTCTCACAGGTCGAGGGGGTGTGTGGGCGAAACTGTGCAAAATGAAAACGAGGTCCACGAACGAGAAATGGGTCTTCGCGTTTCGGAAAATGAAGTTGAAAACAACGAAATAAATGATTGCGAACATGAATGTGACAACGATATTGAAGATAATGCAATCATGGATGTTGAGGAAGATGACCCTGGTGACGAGTTTTCTTCAGAGCATCAACTGACAGCTGTGTTGTGCTCTGCGAGAGGGGGCGTCAGCTTATCTGATGAAGATATAGATGCTTTATTATTTGTCATTTGTCACACTCGTTTTAATGGCAGTCAACTAAAGTATACGAATTGTCGCACATTTAAGAAGTGGTTGGAAGGTTTGTCTGATGATGCGTCTTGAAACGAAACACATGCACACGCACACACACTCACACACACACACATGAGGACGCATGTGGCGATCGTAAATCGTGGTGGAACAAGGGATCGTTCTCTCTCTCTCTCTGTCTCTCTCACACAGATACACACAGATACACACACATTTACATACACACACACACACACACACACATACACACATACATACACACACCTATGAGGACGCATGTGTCAATCCTAAATCGCGGTGGAATAGATGATCATACTCTCTCTCTCTCTCACTCTCTCTCTCTCACACACACACACACACATACACGCACACACACATACACACACATACACACACACACACACACACACACACACACACACACACACACACACACACACATGGGAACGCACGCACCATCTTAAATCACGTCGAACAAGTGGTCACACTCGCTTCCTTGTGGCGTTTGAAGTTCGAAGAGAGTGCAACCACCTTTTCGACGAACCCTTTGTTTCTCTCTCTCCGTCCCTCTCTCTCTCTCGTGCGCGCAACGCGCGCGCTCCCTTGGTTACTTGCTTACACCTTCATTCCCTCCATCTGCTTTTTACAGATGCTCCCTCTCGCTCCCTTTGTCCGCTTCTCTCTTCGTCTGTCTGTGACACATATATACACATACACTGATTATAAATAAAAAATTGTCATGTGTCGTGATTCTGCTATATAGTACTTTAAATACGTCTATCTCTTTCACGACGTGCATCTACACGTTTATCATCCTTCTAGAGAGGATCCTTTCCTTTTTGTGACTACAAATCGACAACATCTCTCTGTATCCGAGAATCTTCACTACTGCCACCGTCATTCATTGTATGCGCATTGCAATCAACGTGCTCGTCCTCGTCAAATAAGCTGAGGAACTTGTGATCGTCTTTCATTTTCATCACTTCAGTTTTGCCCTTCTTCCCAACAAAGTCTTGTCTTTCCCAAATCTTTCTTGCAGCCTCAACGACCTGTTTCTGTTTATCAAGAGGAATCACATTAATGGTAATTTTCCCGACTTTCGTCTTGTGTGTTGTGATGATGGCCTCCTCGATTCGTCTTATCTCTTGTATAGCTGGGGCAGTGCGTGCAGGACGACTCTTGTTGTTCATATGGCAATCAAGCACCATATGAGCAAAAACCAGTTGTTATAGCGTGCAACCTCTCCTATTCAGTTCTTTGTAGTCCCGGTAGAGTACCTCGTCGACGACGTTCTTGAATTGTTGTGCTCCCCACGGCTCATTACCTTTGACTCTCCAAGATGAGTCTTCCCTCATTTTGTTCCTCATCTCGTCGCGTTTTTTCTGTAAGTGGTCTATTAAACTGGCACACGGATACGGAAGTCCTAAACCATTTTGAAACCCTCGCACGATTTCATAAGCAATCTCGCCCCTAATATTTGTCAGTTTTCTCGAACCCATACCACAGATTGCCCTGATTCCTTTCCATTTCAATACCCTATCAACTGCGCCTCGAGCTTCGATAGGAAGTGTTCCAACAAATTCAAAAAAAAACATCAACAAAAATATTTAAAGAATGGTACATTTCAGCGTCTCCGGCGCGGAATGAACAAAAGGTCTTCGCCATACAACGAAGCAGTCGTTTTGTTATCTTCATATCTGATTCTAAATCTTGCAGTTCTTTGCCAACAAACTTTGCACAATCCTTCATTGTGTTGAAAACACGTGTACCTCCTCGACTGCACATATGAAAAACCCACACCACAACCCCAATTAAATTAGTCGATCGTATTTTCATCTACATACGAATATTACTATAAGATCAAAAAAAAAAAAAATAATAAAACTCATTTATTTAACACTCCATTTTCAACTCGAATGAATGAAAATGAATTTTTACCTATTTGTTGTTCTTCTACTCTATCACTTGTCTTTTCAAGTTGCCTCCTCGATGACAAGTGATCGTCTTCTTTTGCATCTTCGTCGAAGTCAGGTCCACTTTCTTGTTTTCTCTCATCGTACTCGTCCTCCATTTCCGCATCCTCGCATTATTGGTAATCCTTCTCATTTTTCATTTCATGACGTTCCCCTGATGAATCTCCATGATATCTTCTGCTTCCATTTCGTTCTTCGTTATATGAGTCTTCTTTAAGTCTTTCCCGCCAATCCGTCTCGGCAATCTTATGAGACCCGCCATCTTCGCTTGCATCACTCTCATCGTCGCCTTGTCTTTTTGACCTGCAAGACATTTCTCGATACTCTGGTTCGTGCCTTCGGTCCGATGCGCGTATCCCCCGTTTCGCAGGAGCACGCAGGACATTTCCACTTCTCATATCTTCGTGAAAAATCTTCCTTGTTTGGGTTTGCAATAGGGATTCCTCTCTATCCCGTACAATATTGTTTTTCATTGTGTGATCTTTCGTATCCGTGTCGAATTTACGCTTACTAGCTTCTCGATGCATGTCAATCATGTTTCTGTAACATGATTCACCTTGCGCAGTTCGTGTTCCCTCACCGTCTTTACGATACCTACTGCCCCGTTTTTCTCCAGACATGTCATCGACGATGTGCGTTTCTCCTCCTTGACGAGATTTTTGAACGTTCATATCATGTTGTCGCCCCTCGTCATGCAAGGTATGACCTCGTACACGGTGTGATGCCTCTGATCGATCTCTACACCTTTGCTTGTTGTCGTCTTGTTTATCCATACGTTTTCCCCTCAGCATCTTGAATGCTAGTGGTCTTCCCTTGCTGCCTCCGGTTTCTAGCCAGAATGTTTTGCTCTGTATGCCAAAGGCAAAATCGAAACAGACATATTACATAAGTCAATAAATATTCGACATGTCAAACAGTATATATGTTTTGCTTTTCGAATTATTTATTATACAAAACAAACATTGCAACTGATAACGTCATTTTCAATTACTTTATTTTTTTTTTTTTCATACTTAATAAAATACCCCTCTATTTTATACATTACGGTATTTTTTTATTTTTTAAAACACATAATTTTTTGATAACGCTCTATGTTTTAACTGTTGCACAAATGTTCTCCTACCTTCCTTCAACACGTTTTTAGTTCGCCCTCGTTTTTCGTCGTCTTGTAATATGTTTCCTGAAGATTGCTACAAATTCTTCAAGCGTATGCGATGTCGGCAACTTCATATAAATATATGTCACCGCCCTTATCATAATGATCCAATGTTCATGAGGTTTTCTGTCTTTGAGATATGCGCACGCTTCTTCTGCCTCCTCCTTCGTTCATAACATATTCGTGCTCTCCGCAATGGTCTCGAGCAAACTCTCAACATTTCTGCACATCATGACGCCGCAATCATTGTTATTGCATTGTTGTTGACACCTGACACTTTCTATGATGCTCTCCTGACCCAGGAATTGTTCCCATGCCCACGTGAGACGCTGTGGTGTAATGCCAATGTCTTGTGCGAATATGACTGCCATGTGTTCGTAGAACAGATGCACCAATAATGGTTCAAACGTTAGCATGCCGAAATTGTTCTTTGATTCGATGTGGAACATCGCGCATGAGTCCATCCTTGAAAGATCCGGGTTCTTCAACACTACATCAACGTCGACAAATATGAGAACTGTATAATGATGTGCATGCAAAATTGGCACTATGACGATTTCCCTATCCCACACCGATGTCATTCCCTTCCTTCTCTTTCTACACACGTCCTTCACAACTTCGACGCCGGGAGGACAATTTACATCAACATCTTTGTGAGTGTTGTATATCTTGTTATACCACAACACGGAAGTCACCTCCACGCGAGACATATTGTTGTTTTTTTTCATGACCGACTCGTACACATATTGATTATAAACGTCAACGATATTTGTTGTCAGCCACCTTGCCGATCCCTGTGACTCAACATCATCCATCCTGATCACAAAAGGCTCTGTATGGAAGGGACGTCAATTGAAAGGAAAATACTTAGCAACAGTGCTCTACAAAGGTGGTAGCATCCGCTTCTCAACTCCGAAATGTTCATCCTCATGAAAATGTGAAATCATTTGCGAGTTTTTGTCCCCATCACAACTTGACGGCAATGAAACTCTTTCATCACTGAGTGAAATTACATTTATCAATGATCTCAAGTTCATATCTCCACTGAGTCCACTTGTCTCCTCTTGCACCGCCTTCTCGTCATTTACGATATTTACACCACTTAACTTTAACATGTTCACCTTCTTCACTTTCGCCTTCACTGCTTTGTCGTTCTCCGTTCTCATCACGTTCATATTCTCATTAACTTCGTCTTTCACCTTCTCCGATATCTCATCAATGGTGTTGCTCGACAACTTCCTCACCTTTCCGATTGAACGTTGTGGATGGTGATTGATGTTGCCTCCTCCTTCGTTCTGAAATGTCATTGTGTCCTTACTGACATCACATGTAGTGTCGAAAGGAGCAACACCTGTCATGATTTCTGCACACACTTGATTCTTGTCCCTCTCCCCTCGTCTCTTTCTTGATTCTCACCATCCATAGCGACAGCGTCTAAATATGTCGAGTCTTTACTCTTCGTGTCGTACATCTCAGGCACACTCCCAATAATCTCACGCATAGACTCTCTGAACGCACTTGGGATCGGTGTCGGCGACAATAATTTCCAAGCATCTACAAATAAACTCAACATAGGACGATGATAAATTTGCTTTACCTTTTCTTCTGATAACATTTGCTCCTCAACTGTTGATGTTATCTTCAAATTTCTCGGCTGTTACGACGGATATATTCGAGGAAGTGATGTTCAAGTAGCAAGGGCGGCATCTGTTTTTCATGGTCGAGACGTGCGATCAGATGTGAGTGTGAGAGCAGGAAATGGCGAAGTGTGGTTAGCATCTGTGGCCATGCTTTTTAGCCTGCAATGCTGTAGACATAATGAAACAATGACGAATTCATGTGCATTTGTGCATTGATACAAAATGTGTCATGAACTTCACGAATTGTACTTCATGTTAGTTGGTGCAACGAGAGAGAATCCGAGGTGTGCAACATTGCAGCGTCATCGACATCGATACGATTATTGAACCAGTACACCTGGTTCCATATTTCTTGAGGCCTTCATTTCGGCATGATGTAGAACGTGCGAATTTTGAAGATGAGGTGTTTTTTGTAAACAGATTCGTAAATGCCATATGACTATTTGTGTCATATTCTTTCTCTTTGAGTTGTTCAATGATGAAACTTTTTTATTTGTGTGTTTTCAGGTGTGTGTAAACGAGTCTCTGGCGATACAGAGGATATAAGACGTTGGACAAGACTAGACAATGAATTCGTTTCCAAAAGGTCAAAGACAAAGACGAGAACGAAAATGGAAAACAACGAAAGGGGGAAGCGCGTCGTGGTATAAGTATAAATGAGATTCATCAAGAACAGAAAAAACCTCGAGGAAGTGGAAGGGGACACCAACTAATAAACATGTGAAACGAGGAAACCAAATTCCAGCAAAGGAAGAGCAGACAAAAAAGGTAAGTGGAAAAACATCAAAAAGAGGAGAGCGAGGAATTAAACATAGATGAAATCGTTGTCTTTCAAGAAGATGAAACAAAAACTTTGATGCTTCAGTGTCAAATGATACAACTTGTTCGTTTATGATTTCATCAGTTATTCTGAACCACCTCAATTGCAATCGCCCTATATCAGTAGAAGATAACACATTTCGTCCTGTCCTCTCCGTCTCTAATACCGACGACCAATTTTCGTCTTCTCTGCGACGTCTCACCCTCACTTTTGATACGTGTTATTCTAGTGTTGTTGCACGTACAATGTGTTTCACCATTTGCCGCAAAGGGTTTCGGCGATTTGAAGCATGATAAGGATTTTTGCAAAGACGGATGTGGTTATGTTCCCAAATGTCTGCAACAAATGTGTTTGGCAATTCTGACCACAACACTGTTGCTTTGAACTTGTTCATGTCATGCATTTTCTTTATCTTCCAATTTGACTTTTGTAAATGGCTGAATCGAAGATTTGTGAAATCCATAAATTCTTTTAGAAGATTTCACACATGTTAAGCGATTGTGTCGTATGTTTCGTCATTTGAAACATACTCCTCAAATACTCTAGAAACATATCAAACCATTTGACAAGGTCGCGTCCCTAAGCGCTGTCCACAAAATTATGAACAATAAACAATATAACTGACATGACAGCTCAATATTGTTTTTCTTCGAATCGCCCTTCGCGAGTGAAGAAATCGGCTCCTGTGGCGACAGGTAGCATTAACTTTTGGAACGAACGACGGACTCTAAGGCTGATTTGCTTGAGACGAGCATTTAACTCACCTTGCATTGCGGATGCCCGGTCGAATGAATTGCAAAACGTTTTTACACCTTCGATCATATATTCAAATATCCCATGATCTATGGTGTGCATTCGATCTGGTTGTTGCGCATAGTGGTAATCAAACATCAAATCGTTGTTGGAAGAACCTTGATAAAACCCCCAAAGGCCATTGAAAGGAATATTATAGTGCATTCCGCATTCATTGGCGAAACCTAACGCTTCATGATGTGTTGATTCATCAGATTCATGATGAATGTCGTGCAAAATACTGCGGTCCACATTCTCTGTTCTCGCTAAAGTACTATAATCCATGTGCTCATGAAGTTTGTCAGTGGGCACAATACACGTTGGGCAGCGTCCGTTCTTTACAAGTGTCAAAAGACACCTTTCACGATGATCTTGTATGTAATTTAACAACACTGGATGAACCGTAATATTTTCATACCTTGAGGTATGCATTTGCATTCCTTCGTGAGATATTTTTTTTGCTTCCTTGAGAATGATAGCGGGACTTTCATGGAAAAGACTCCTTTTGCGACGAATGAACGCGGACGCCTTACTTGTTCATCCATGAATGTGAGGAAGCGGATGTAAGATCGGGAAGTAAGCTAGCAGTTTTGCACGATCCGGTCTATCGGCGAGTGATAACATCAAAGGGTATGATGTCGTTTTCATGTGACCATCTACATATGTTTTGTCGGAGTACAACGTAAACGGCACAATGTAACGATTTTGACCATTTTGCTCTAAACCTTTTTCGTTTCTAATTACCTGTTGTGCGCGTTTCCAAAATTTTGCAGATTTAGCGTTTGTGATCACGATCTCATCATCGTCTACCATTGCGTCTGGCTCTAATGTGTAATCACTATTATTCACAAATGCATCTTCAACAAGAGTCTTAAACCTGATATCCCATTTACGCCACAAAAAAAAAGTTGTTGCTTCTACTGGCCAACTATCGTCCGGGGTGTGTGTGTGTGTGTTTGTGTGTGTGTGTGTGGGTGGGGGGGGGGGGGGGGGGGGGGGGGGGGGGGGGGGGGGGGGGGGGGGGGGGGGGGGGGGGGGGGGGGGGGGGGTGTAAGAACACAGCTATCCCAAGAATGGGGACAATAGACATAGCCAGTTAGTCATTTTAGTCACACACAGTATTCACACAACAATGTGTAAGATTTACGGAGCAGTTAGGATTAGTGTTAGCAGGTTAGAAGGGGTTAGGAGAGGGTTTGAGGACCCAACCATAGGGGGGGTGCACGCCCTTAAGCGCGCTTTTCGCTGCCTAGCACCCATAGCAGCTCATTGGAGGGATTAGTCATCAGGCTCCTGTTAGCATAAGGGTAAGGGTGTAATAGTTACGGCTTTTTTTATAAGAAACCAACCGGCAATTAGAGGTTTGGATAGACTGTCCATACCTGAGTGGTCATAGCTGGTGAAGTCGTCGCATCAGTCGTCGCCATAGCTGGATTGGCTGAAGGCTGGTGAGAAGTCAGGCGCAACACTGTATGAAGCGCAGAATGAGAGGCACAGCCGAGTGCCCTATCAGCCGGAGCGACCGGTTAAGCGTGCCAGGTTGTTCTCTTGCACTCGCGGTATGCAGCACCGCCAGGGGCGTGTATAATTCAAGCTCGCTGGCATGCGGCAAGTCCTGCGCTCAAGCAAAGGAGGAGGTGTATGGGTGTGAAGGGATATAAGTAGCGTGTGCAGTGTGCCAGGCCATGGAAGGGGGCGCAGGGGGAACCCGCGAGTGGGGTGTATATGTGTGTTTTGCAGCATGGTGGGTAAGGTGAGGTGGAGCAAGAAGATGTTCTTGCATGGGGTAAGTATGGCGTATTGCAGAGGTTTTTTTTGGAAAGTCTCATTTCTGGTGCGTTTGCGCATAAGGGAAAAAAAAGGGGATGCAATTGTAGGAAGTAGTTGCCTTGGGGGGTCACGTCTTTGTCTTGTTTTGGTTTTGTTTATATTGTTGTATCGTGGACTGGCTATGGTGGTCTCCGAGCTTGTATCTTTAGATATGTTTTGTCCTCAGGCGATGTTGGCGTTTCGTCTGTGTGGCATATGTGTGTCGTCCCGTTTTTCCTGCTATCGCTTCGGCGTGTGCGTGCGGTCATCTTGCGGATTGGGTTGTCGTGCGCGTTTTTTATTTTGTCATTTCGGCATGGTGGTGATCTGTAGACCTGTTGTCCGGTTTTGCGCAGGCATTTTTGGCCTTTGGGTCTGTATGACATTTTTTAATCTGTAGTATTTTTCACTTTTTAAGTTTTTTAATTATTATTATTTTTTTATGTTTATGTCCTGGTACGCGTGGAGTTCTTATTTGTGCCGCAGAGTGTGCAGTAGATGGTCCCATAACCCGTTTGTGCAGTTTTTCGTGCCGGCAATTTAATTGTAGTGGGTGGTTTGTCTGCTACGTTCTGTGTTATGTAGCTTCTACATTGTGCATATTTGTGCCGTATGCACCTATTGTGTCACACTTGTGTAGGTATTTCTATATGTGTATTTACATATGTATATATAAATATATATAAAATATTGTTTCTAAATATGTCTATGTGTGTACTTACTTATTCATTATGCAGCTCTATTTGTTTTTTATTGTGGTACCTTTACATGTTTTATCTAATCACATTCTGCAGGTATAATTTTGTAGAAGAGGGTTGGAAGTGTATATTTGTGTGTGTGTGTGTGCAAGAGTATGTCTGTAGGACTAATGTACGAGTGTGTGTGTGTGCGTGTATGTGTGTGTGTGTGTGTGTCCCTCCCCTTTCCCTCGTAATGGAGGTCCAGTGGGGTAGGTCCATGGATGGTGGGTGGATGGTGGACCTACCCCATTTGGGATAGGTCCTCCATCCGTACCAAGCCAGTTTAATTGGCTAACACACACCGAAGGTTTATTTATAATTTTTACTATTATTATGCCCGTGGTTGGCTTGCGTTCTAGTTATTATTCATTGTGTGCAACTAGTTCTGTATTTTTAATAACAGCAGTTGTAGTACGATATCCGGGTTGCAACGAAAGGGTTGGTAGTTCGGGGGATTTTTTAGCACTTTCTTTGCGATGCCCAGTAGTCTGTGTAATCTAAAGCCATTATTTTGGAGTGAGCATAACGTTAGTTTGATTTCTTTTGCAGCGTGCGCGTTTTCTGTTTCAATGGTCATGATTGTGATGATCTGTGGTATTAGAAGGTTGAGCGATTGCTGAAGCGGTCTGTTTG